TTTTTTCTTTTTTTTAATTTGTTTCTGATAGAAATATTTTATTTGGTCTATCAATGTTGCTTTGGTGATTATATGATCTCGATTCATAATTTCACTCAAGTTATTCTATACATTAACTGCAATACTTAAAACTATCGGATGAAGACTGTGAATAGGAAAGAAACAGACAAGAAAAGTGTTGTTCATGAGAAAACAAACTTCTGAATGCTCAAGCATAGATTAATGAAGCTTTTTCAACAGCTCTAAAGTCCAACAATAAAATGTTAGACAACAACTAAACATATCAGCAAGATGATGCAACACCTCATACACATCATCTAAGTCACAAATTTTATATTGATCGTTTCCTTGCATTCATTCCGAAGTGTCATCAGTCACCAAATTCACCTGATTTACATCTGTTAGATTATAGTTGATGGAATGAGATCACATAATAACAAAAGCAACATTGATAAACGAGAGAAAACATTCTGTCAAAAGAGAATTTCAAAAGAAAAAACTTCAAATTTTGTACTTGATTTTAATAGAGGATTACATTTAATCAAAGAAAAAATGAAGAAGACTATATTTGTGAATTCATTTATATATCATACTGTGTAGAATTTCAAGCGTTATGTTTTGATTTAAAAAAAAAGGCTTTTATCGTATAAGAGAAATTTCAAAATTAATAATAGTTCAATTCTTTATGGGTCAACTGTTAATGTAATAATTTTTAGTTACATAAATTTAAACTAAACTCTTCGATTATCAACCTAATTCAAATAAAACAAAAATTTTAAAGCCCAAACGTAACTATTTCTCTTTTCCTCTTCTAAATCTTTCGATGATTATAACATAATCGATTAGTCGAATAGCTTCAATTGATATTTATTTATTCATGTCTGATGATAGGTATATATAGACTTCAAACAATGATCGGAAATACTCATTATTAATAAGCCATTAAACTACCTCTCTTTAATCGTTTCTAATTGGACGAGAACTTGTTTTTTTTTTTTACGTTCAACAAAAAATTAAGCCTGTTTCCTTGTCTTTCTTTTTTTTTTTGTTTGAGCTATGTAAACAATAAATCAATCTAAACCATTCCCTTTTTTTTCTTTTTCTCTTACTTATATTTAACTATTATACATCCAATCGTGAACAACAATAACGATTGAAAGAAGAGAACTTTCTATGTTCTCTCTCTCTCTACCAATCATTTGTCATTTAATTGATAGGAAGCCAATTGTATCTTTTTCTATCTCAATACGATCAGATTAATACATATTCGTTTGATCGACGATAATGACAGATATTAAACATAGTGAAGAGATTAACTGGAAAAACGAAACTTATTCACATTATCATTCAATGGATATTCATACTCATCAATCAAGTGATAGTCCTAACAAAGAAATCAAAATGGTAGGATTAGATAATATTGAAAAAGAAGAAAGTGATAGTTTAAGTGGTTACAGTGATGAAGAAAATCATAAACGAAAACAACGACGTTATAGGTTAATAAAAATAAAAAAATTAATTATTATAATAGAAAAATTTTATTTTTTTTGTTAAGAACAACATTTACTTCAATGCAATTAGAAGAATTAGAAAAAGCATTTCAACGTACACATTATCCAGATGTTTTTATGAGGTAAATTCATTAAAATTTCTCAAATGTTTTATTTAACATTAATCGTGAAACATTTTGTTATCTAGAGTAGACTTAATAATCTCTACCAGAAATTTAAGAATTAGAGTTAGTAAGATTCAGAAAAATTTCATAATTTGTATCAAAAGATGTATGTTTTTAAGAAACACAGCAACATATCTTGTTTGTTTTATTTCGACTATTCACAGAAAAGAGTTTGCTTGTTGACTTCATCGAAAATATTAGTAATAAAGAAATACTATTTCTCAAGTAATTGGTAATATAGGTCCAATATTCAGTCAATACAAAACATTGAATATTTCTGTAAGAATGTTTTCTAAGTCTTCTATACATAAAACTGTGAATGTAATAGAACGAGAAAGAAATATTTGAATTTATCTTAGCCTAGTAGATTCATTGTCTATATTCTCAAAAAATATAAGTTAATTTTATGTTTCATTACTGAAAGATAAGTTCTATCATGTTTCTGTAATTAAGGTTTTTAACAAGAATAAATCGAATTATAATGAAAATTTCTTGTTTTTCTCAATGAGTATTCAATAGCTATTTACTGATTAAGATTGTGAAATTTTGTTTTTAAGCTAATATTATTGAGCATAATTTAGTTTTATTCATTGAGTAACAATTATATGAACTGTACAATAAGAAGTACTTAGTATTAAGAACACATGCTATTTCTGCCTAATGATGTTTATCTTTTCTTTTTTTTTTGTATAAACCAATAGTTGAACAACTACCTATGTCAATATTTCATACATTTACAGTAGAAAAATTATTATGATATACACTTATCACACGAAGAAGCGATCTATTATTTAGGTGATACATTTATGATTATTTGATGAGTTTGTTTTGAAAACGGCTCTTTTACACATAATTGTGACAAAACGAAATCGAATAGAAAAGATAAATCAGTTGTTATTTATTTGATTGAAAATTATGTTTTTTCACACTATTCTACTTTTTAATATCAGATTATCAATTCAGTTACTATGTATTGCCGTAGGTGAGCAAATGTTTCTATACAAAATGATTATTAACAGATGTTTAATATCTCAACATGAATAATACATCTTCATTTGAATATGTCGTTTAATGAAGAATTACAAATTGTTGTTTTGATTTATTAGAGGATTAAAATATAACATTATGTAATACTTGAATTATTTCATTAAACATTGTTGATAAATTATAGCATTTTATTTAGAGATAGATCGATTTTGAACTAGTTTAATTTGAAAAATTAATTGAAATTGTCAATTTCAAATTCTATTATTAATATGTTTTCTTTTTGGTTATGAAATTTAACAGTTATTCTAATGCTAATTTTTTATTGTCAATTTTTTGAAATTTAATTCTTTATCTATTACATTGATCAACTATTAAAATATATGATTATTGATTTTTATTTAAAGAGAAGAATTAGCTATGCGTATTGATCTAACTGAAGCACGTGTTCAAGTATGGTTTCAAAATCGACGTGCTAAATGGCGTAAACGTGAAAAAATGAATCCACCAACAACATTATCAACTTCATCATCAACACATATACATCCATTATTTACACCTCCAACAAGTCTTCTTACTCGTCTTAGTTCATTTTCTCAAGCAGAAATTTTATCATCATATTCATCACTTACAACATCATTTCTTAATGCAACTGCAGCATGTTTACCAATGTTTTCACCTCTAACACCATTTTGGTCATCAACAAATCAATTTGGAATAAATTTTCTACAACAATTAGCACAATTAGCTTCAATATCTTGTGAAAATACAAAAGATCAAAATATAGATAAGAACAGTAATAATATATTAGAAAAACAAAATTTTGAAAAAGAAGAAAATCATCGAACAAGTAGTAAAACTACATTACATCTTAAAGCACTTGAATATACAAATAAAGAATCTGAATTATCATCATCTACTATTAATTTTTAATAGTTGATTAAAACGTAAAATCAAAAAATCAAAAAATTATTATTTCTTGTTTGTATGTGGTTTTTTTTTTCTTTACAAAAAAATCAAAATAAAACATATAAGTGTCAGAATAAATGAAATGATTTCCTGTTATCAAATAAATAAACATATATTATAGGTGTATCTCGGCTTGTTCAACATAAAACATTTAAACTAATGATTGTTGATTTAAGACACATGATGTGTCAATTTTGTACATTCATTTAAATAAGCAGGTGTGCTATTTCATTCCTTTGTTAATTAGTATATGTATTATGACACAAAATCGATCGACAATAAAACATTAAATCTAGTAACAATGAATAATGCACACCAAAATATGATAAGTATCCTATAGAGATAGATGTAGCTAATAATGACTTATCCAGATTTCTTTTTTCTATAATTATGATGACACAATATCTTTGAGATGTAGGTTAAGTGTTTATATATAAATGAATCCATTGTGTTTTGTTTAATATTTGGTATTTGGATAAAGGAGTTCTGAAGAGATAAATTATCAAAAATGAAACTTGTAATGCATGAATAATTCATTTAATTGCTTTTAATATAATTGAAAGTAACATTAACATACACTTTAGATAAAAATATGAAACACTATGTAGCTGTTATTGTTCATCAGAGAGAGATTGTTTTATTGTATTTGTTTTTTGCCACCGTTTTACCTAATCTTTTAGAAATGCAATTATAACAAGACGACTTTAATGATATACGATCTTTGATCGTATGTCAGCAATGTCTACCACAGGCTTTGATGGAGAGGGTAGACGTCGTTAAAAGGTTGGTTTATGACCTGTGCCAAGGAAGGGGTAGGGGTGAATGCAAATTCCTACTCTATTATGTTGTAAAGTATAAATAAAATTTTGTTACTGACATACTCTTATTTTCTTAGCTTCTGTCATTTGTTTATCAAATAAATCCACATAATTTGTCTCTTTGTTCTCCTAAAAATACTTGTATGTGCCACATATATGAGAGTAGTAAGACAGTGATGAGTCTAAGATATTGAGACAGAGCACGATCATTGTTACAAAAATATGTTTTCATGTCCATTAAAGAGATCAGCCCTATCCTCTAAATTCGTCTCTATAGAAAGAACATTATTTAAAGAAATACATGTACACTTTCTCTACTTTTTTTCTTCTCTTCAACTTATCCTAGAGTAAGATAAATTTGATAAGTTGGCTATCAATACGGAACATATTGCCTAGGATATCACACGAGATATAAACGATTAGTGAAGAGATCATTGCTAACATTTTTGAATAATTCGAATTACACTTATTCATATTAGAAAAAAAAAATGATATCAATATCAATTTTAATAATATTGAGCTGATTGAAAATTCTTATGTAATTGATATTATTTTATTATCTAATTAATAAAAGACTTGTAAATATAAAACAAAACGTTGATAGAAGTAAACTCGATTATTGAAGATATTTTTTCAATTGCATTTTACAAAGACGATTGATTTATCATTCAATTACATTTTCTATTTAGTTTATTTATGTTGATGATATTGTATTCTATCTTGAAAGCACAAAAACATACATCTACATGAAGATCGACTTTGACAGCAATGTATGTTTAAAGCTAATCGATTTAGTACAATAAAACACAAATTTAGAGTATTGATATGAAAAGAGCAGTAACTCTAATATGAAAGAATTGAACATAGATTTTTAGAACACATTAGGATATTTTTAAGACAATATTCAATTAGTTTTGAACAAGAATTTGTGACAGCAATCTTCAAACGATTATCCATTTTCAAATCATTGATAGCCTAAATCAACGTGTAACAAAAGTTCGTAGCTGTAATATTTAATATAAATTAACATTTACTTTTATTCAAGAAGAATGTATTGACATTTAGTATATGTTGACTTTTCATTTGATTATTTGAATAAAATCTGTTAGAGATATAATAATCGAATATTTGTATATAACTTCAAGTCTATGCTTTCTCACACAAAATTATACGAAAGGCGAGATATGCAGTCTTGAATTTGAAGAACATAAAATGTTTGGAAAGTTTTTTTCTATGATAACTGCTCGTTTATTATAAACATTCAAAGATAAATCATGTGAAATCTTGAGACAATGAATCAAACACTAGACTTTTGAAGAAAAAAAAATCTACTCGTATAAGTAAATGAAAATGCGTAGAATATAGCAAAAACGAAAGAGAAAATTATGGTTTCTTTCCACGATTAGGATCATGTGCATCTGTGGAGCCACCGGCTTTTCCATAAGGTGGATCGTTACTAGTTATTTTATTTGGATCAGTCCAATCCTCTCTTTTTGTGCCTAAAATATAACAAGAAAAAAGAATTAATATTATAGTCTATAATAATATACTCACCTGGCTGTTTTGTATCATCAACTGTGTTCGGTCTTTGTTTTTTATCACTAATCTTCGTTTTGTTTAAATCACTACCTTTGCTCGGATCAGATTGTTTTCCACCTATTAAAATTGTACATTTTAAAAGACTTACTTGATGTTCTCTTTTTCAATTTCATTAAACAATTTTAAACTAACAGATATTTAACAAAATGTGTTATTCTAATAATCAAATTTTAATTATATACGGTTGAAGAGAAAAAAGCCTGGAAGTCAAATTTACTGAAAAAAAACATCAAGGATGAAATTGCGACAATAGCAAAACTCTAAGTATAATAAATCGATTAAATTATGAATATCCTAAAGTAATGACTAAAGTTCGACCGTTAATAACATAATCTTTGTTTTCATTTATCTAGGCTCCGATAATTGATGTAAAACTCATCACATAAAACTTAAGGAAAAAATCATTCAACTGATGATAACCTCATTCAATCGCGTTGGATGATTAAGGAGATATTTACGTACGGATACTTCAGTATTAATAGGAACTATCCTAACTGTAATCTATCGTTTGACCTCATATTGGATTCACAAGAAGGTCGTGGTAAGACTCGATAATTCCTAAAAATGTTCGTGCATATGAGCTTCTAGATCCGAGTTATGCCCGTTGTATTGAATTTTCGACTCATTTTTATATAAATACTGAAAAATTAAGGAATAGGATTTCGATCTGAAATTGAGTTTATACATTGATTTAATGATCCCTGAAATATGCTGAATGCTTCGGTCAAAAAAGAGTATTCATTTTTTGAAATATTAAAATTTCCAAAAAAAAGTCGCTTGTCACAAAAAATCGATTTCCTTTGGAAGTTCAATATTTCAGCAAAGAATGATTCTTTTCCGCTTTCGCTAAAATTCTCAGTATATTTCAAGGGTCATCAGATCAATCTATGGACTAAATTGCATCATGGGCACAAACCTTTTTTAGCTTTTTCTAATCGTACCGAAACTTTCTTGGGAATTTGAGCAGTAAGTTATAATGAAGGTAGTTTCCTTATTAATATTCGATCGACACTAAGTAGAAAATCAGCCATATTTATCACTTCATAGCATAAAGAAAAAAACATCAATCTATATAAAAACTGACGTGTTAAACAAGATCTTATTTCTACGAAAAGCCTCGAGATATGGAAAGCTCAATAATTTATAAAAACTTTTCTACACAAAAAAAAATCGATTCTTATTGTTCTACTTTTTCTATAATTCGATGTTGTTGGATCACTACCATCATAACGAACTTGTTGTACACTCAATGAAGGACGTATAAGTATTAAACGTCGTTGCTAGAATGTACATCTATATAAATATATTATCTGCAAATAAATATCTAACATACAATTGCAGTCGTTAATAATTGTCGTATTGGTTGCATAATCTAAAATAGTATTACTAATGAGAATACTTTGTTTTTTTTTTATATTTATTAAAAAAGAACGAAATTATTCTGACTACTGAGTGAAAGAATGAACAAAGAAAAATAAAATTTTTATCATTGTTATTATAATAAACATAAAGACTAGAGTATAAAATTGATTGTTTGAGAAATATAAAATAAGTATAAAACTATTGAAGAAAAAAACAATAATAATAAAATTTATTTTTACTGTTAATACATTTATATTCAATGAATAGGATTTATAGTAAAAAAATATTAAAAATGATAAAAAAAACATTACTGAAGAAAATGAAATAAAAATTTTGATATGGCTTGAATAAATAATGATAACCGTTTTGGAAAAATAACTGATATAATTAAATTAATTATATATAACAAAATAGTATTTAAAAGAAGTATTATTCCAATAATTGATAGAACAAATAAAAATAACAATATCATTTTTTTCAATTCATAGAAATCACTTTCTGATTTATGTACACGACGATACATATTTGATAAATGTTTTTCCATATAGTTTTCATTTTTATTTTCTTCTTCAAATGTCATTGACGGTAGCTGAAGACAATTATTTTGAATATGAAGGTCAAAATCACTACGACGTAAGACATGTTTACATATATTACATTGAATCTAAATACGATAAAAAAATAAATTCACCAATTAAGAAATGATTAATTCTTGACTCATGTAAACAAGGATTCTTCGAAGTTGTTTTTATGATTTTTTTTTTCTATTAAATAACAATTCATTGACCTTGAACAAAGAAAATTTACTTGTTTAAAGAACGATTGAAAAATTTCATTTGCATCAAAGATGTTTATTTTATTTTCATAAATTTTAATCTATCATGTTTGATAAAATATAAGCTAGAAACTATCTTGTGATGTTTACTGATTCCTATAAATATATGTTCTTACTTGAAGTTCATCAAGAGCATTTCTTATAACATCACCAGTGATTATAAGATCATTGAACTCTATAATCGTTGTTTGACAACATGGACAATATCTTAATTTTGTTATACAACGATTACAAAATGAATTTTCACATAAAACATGTGTTTGTGGATCAATTAGAGGATCCAAACATATCGGACATATTAAAGAATATGAAATGTTATTTCTATTGATATATATATAATTATTAGTTAAAGCCTTGATACGATTGTTTAATGTGGTATGATACATCATTCGTTATTGATTACTTAATTTCGATGAGATTATTATCTAAAAACCTATGATTTCATTAAGTAAAAAAGAAAGATACTATTTTGTTTTTGTTTCTGAATAGATTTATTTCAGATTATTTGACGTAAACTACGATATATTGATACAACACAATTAATATCAATCCATATGTATAAAAATATATCGCTTGGTAAGCCTTTTTTAAAATGAAGATTGAGCCAAATCGATGCAATTATAGTACATAATTTACATATGAAAAAAAATAAACGATAAGCAAGACCATGATGTGTTCCGATCCCATGAACATATATTGAATAACTTCCAAATAAAAGTATTGCCATATTGCATATAAAATTAATATATTCAAGTATTTGACGTTGTTCATCATATGATAAGCATAATTTTCCAGAAATATTTGTTCTTGTTAATAATATTTTATTTGATGAATCAACAAAAGATGATCGATTAAATATAATACTTTGATTTCTCAAATCTTCTAATTCATGCTTCATTTTGGTCATTTCTTTATTTAAATGAACTACATCTGATAAACAAAGTAAAAATATAGTACTATAAAAACCGGCTACGACTCCCAAAACAATTGATGCTATATTAGTTTCGTCCATCAAGAGAAACAAAAAATAATATTGCCTAAAAAAAAAAGAAGACAAATTTTTATTGATTATATTTTTTTGATTTGTTTTATAATCATACAAGAGCGAAGAAAATAAAACATAATAAACTCAATTTTGAGCAAGAAATTGTATCATGGAACTCATTGATTAGTTTACTTAAATAAAAAGACCTGCTGTTATTTGCATTCAATTTAATATATGCATGTAGACAGCAAAAAGTTATTAACTAAAGTCGTCATTTGGATATGTACTTGATGTGTTGTTCTGTTCTTGCACATGACTGGTAAAACAATTCGACCAATGAAATAAGAAAAGATTGTGCTAGTAGTATCTATAAGCAGTTGTTCTCTTGAAAATAAGATACAGTAAAGTTGACTGGATTTCGGGAGGAAGGGAAGATACACGTTTTTCTTTTGGACATTGGTAAACAAAAAAAAATAATAAAACATTAGAACTTCTCAGAAGAAAAATGAAAATTTTTCAAGATTGAGAATCATTCTTCGATCCAAACTTGCTAGTGACATACTTGAAATTTGCTTCGAAAACATTTAAAGTATTATTAATTCTTTCTTATTAGTTTACATATTCTTTCACTCGTATTTATGCAACATCGATGTTTGGACATGTCAGATTCGAATTATCAAAATTATATTATTGATGTACGTATTCTTTTTTGAGTTTTTATGGGAGAATCAATATGGGATGGTAATCAATATACAAAAAAGTCACTTCATAATTTGATACTAGTAGAAAATATTTTTAGAAAAGAAAACATCAAGTAGTATATTTCAGCAAAAATTTATAAAAATTAACGAGTATAATATTTGATTAAAAAACAAACACAAATAGAAATCAATCAAACTTGTTATTTCTCATCTTCTTCTTCATTATGTATATCTAAATGATTATCATAGAACTATATTGAATCAACTTCTATACTGAGGTTAATTCTACAACAATTGTATAATTACCTTGAGCATAGAATTGTTTACTTTGATGACAGTATTGAATAGTTGTATTTCGATTTGGTTCACTTCTAAAAACTTCATTTTTACTTCATAATTTATTTAGTTTTATTGGAGTTTTACTCATCAGAAATTAAAAATAACAATATTAGTCAAGTGTCACGCTCCAATAAACAAATCAAGTTTGATTATTAATAGGGAATGATTATTTTTTAAATACAATGAACTGAGTTAGTGGCTCTGAGCGTTAGTTTTCTCTTCATTAGTACATACACATTGGCACTCATATACATCACCAATGTTACTTGACTAATATTTGGTCATCAATTTCAAAAACCATCGACAAAAATTTGATATTTACCTTTCGATGATTGTATAATTGACATATTTAAGAAGAGATATACGAAGGATAATTGTCCATGTTTTTTTGTTTCGATATATGTATTATTGGTTTAGTGAATACTACATATCAATATTGTGAATTCTTTTTATTCTTTTAAAACAAGTCTCTGATGTACTTACTGAGTAGAGTGATTACTTGGTTGTATATATTAGTGAACAATGTATATATAGCTTATTATTTATTTTGGTCAGAACTACATATGAAAACTTTAAATGTCGAGAGACTCGTCTGCTTAGAGCTCAACGGTCGGTGCGCCTATCAGACTTTGAAGAAATAGAAGCTTGTATTACATTGGCAATCATGATCAAAGTTATCATTAAGAATAACATCAAAAAATAGCATTTTCCGAAAAGATTCCTTCATTGCAAGTGAAACTCATCTAATAAAACAAAAACGTGTCATCCAATACTTTACTCATGTAAAATAAGCAAGATCAAAAGCCATTTTTCTATTATAGAAGTCTAAGGATAGTAAAGATGGTGAAAAACCGATGTTGATGTTAGTGGTCTTTAATCAAAATCAATCAATGTTCGATACAAAAAAGAAGAATTAAGATTGAGTATATAATTGAAATATGAGAAGCTAGTTTATTATTACTGGAAAAAATAATGAATTGGTAGTTTGAACAAACTATAAATTTTAACCAGTCTCATTGTCTTTCGATTAGAAGATACGTTGTTGAAGCATTCGAAGCATTGACATGATCAGCATACAAATAACTAAAAAACAGTTTGAATATCATTCAAAATGAATACAATCAAGAATAAATCTAGTAGTGTGTTAGCTATTATTTCTTGGGCAGGCATATTAGAAAGCAGTTTCACAATAGTCTATAGATTTATATTCTATGATTATCTGCTTAGTTATCTAAGCTCAAGTAGATTCCTAACGGAAAAGAACCTATTAAGAACTATATCTGACTTATAGTCATTTCTAGATTGCTGATGGTTCAGAAGTAGACGACACCGTGAAATGTAAATAAACAACAACTGAACAGTTGAGGGTGGCAGAATATTAAGTAATTTACAATACAAAATTTTTCATTCTATCATTTTTTGCAAGGTTGAAATTTTAGAAAACTATTGATTTTTTTGTAGATTGCATTCTTCAGTTTCTGGTGCAGTATATTTATTTGGGCATCTCTCAATGATCAATAACTATTAATCAGAATTATCTGAAAAATATTGCCACTGAATTTTCTGCAGAATGAGAGATCAGCTTACCATAGACAGGAGCAATAAATTGATGACGATTCGTATCCATGACTCAGAGTACGTTATTACTATGTTCAATTCATGTAGGATCACTCTTGAGCTTGGCTTATTCCTAGTTCATTCGATAGGCTTATACGAGATCGGTAAAAGGATAGTAATCTTCATCGTTTGTGAACTTCAAAAGTTGCTGTTAGGTATGAGTTTAGCATTTATCAAAGGTCAGTAGAATAATATATGCTGTCGCGATAATTTGAATGCAGAAATTGCGACTCATTTCGAACCCTCAAGAGCAATGTAAAATATTTGTTCTCACGGATGTTACATGAATTCTAGATAACTATCGCCTGATTGTTCTCGTCGTTTATTAACGCATGCATATCAATCGATCAACTTACCTGTGATTGTAATTGAGCTGGCTTTTATTGATGCCGATGATTTACCAGTAGTGATGAAAGTACCTGGATTATTCGTTGTAGGATCTAAATAGTTTGTGAAGCTAGATTGAAGGCTAATGCTTATCACAGACTGTACAAAGTCACTACTATTAGCATTATATGAGTTCAAACTCCATAATGAATACGAGGCGTCAACACTCTTATCATATTAATATTCGTAAGAATACATAATGTTTCTACTAGTAACAGAGCATTTTCTACTTTAAGAAGCCTCTACTTGAAGGTTATTAAAGGATATTACAAAAAAGAATGGTGTAATTCCTATATTCAGTTTTGATTCTCACTCTTTGTGAATCTATCTACATACATTTTTTGCTATAAGAATCTATGTGGTTTCTCTACAAAGCGAAATAATGCATATTTTTAAGGAATATCAGGCACTACATTTCAAAAAGTGCAAAGTAAATATCTAGAAAATATGGTAAAAATCAAGCGTGAAAATGGTTACACTGGAACTAAGGTTTGTCGTTATTCGAAAGCTAAAGTATGATTTCAAACAAGTTAAAGATGAGTACAAATGGTAGACAAGACTGGTACTATGTTCTACCTGACTATTTGGATCGACTAAGTGCTGCTGGTGGAAAAGCTAATGTCGTGAAGGTGAAGGAACGGCTGAACTGAAAACAGTACGTGTCCATCACAAAACTGAGCAAAGTATTGACTTAGTCGTACGTTAGTTTCCATCGTGTATTACGACCAGGTCTGGATGCTTTCCATATAGAACATCCAAGAATCTGTGTAAATATGAGAGGAGAAATGAACATCGGGGGTAGTGTTAGTCAGAATGTCGATATAGATGCCTCAGTCCGAGTAGAATTATAAATGAGTGTATTCTTGCAGCCAGTATTTACACTTATACCCTACCCTCAAAGCAAGTTATAGGCTCTCAGTTATAACTAGTTAACGCACTCATCAAGTAGATTTGAAAACTGAGTGCAAGTGCTCTGCAGACTATCTACACACAAAATAATTTAATCATGTCAGTGATAAAAACTTTTCTCATATGACACACAATCATTCGATAAAATATGAAAACGTAGGGTAATCTTACATACGAAGAAACATGACTTACTAGTTGGTGGTGGTGCAATTGATGTAAGCCTGGCCAAAGCTGGACCACGAGCTAGTATCCAAAAATCTCCAGTAAGAGATGCTTGAGATGTCGTGACAACCAAAATGTATTGACGTCCAGATGAGAGGACATAGTTGATACGAAATCCTCCTCTGATGCCACCATTATCACTACTGATGAGAAGACTTGCCGATGGATTGGATGGATCGAAAGATGTATCGTATAAATAACCCATGGTGTTGATACCAGATACACTTGC